ATTTGTGGAACTTTGACCCATCATTTGTATTTTTCATCCATCTAATTYTGTGCTCTTGCTATTACGAACAGTCAAATGACAGAATTAAGCACCCCTGGATTTATCACTAAATTATCTCCAGCCACACAGAGCATTATTAAACTCAGTTCCCTGAGCCTGTCAGAGCAGTGTCACTAGCCTGCTCCATATAAGGGAGGCAGTTCCCCCTTTTCCAGAGCACAGACTCTGTTGTTTGCAAAGGAAGGTATAACCTGTCACTGCACAACTGCCTTTTTCAGTATCTGAATGCACAATATTATTCAACATAGTTATTGCAAGAAAAACAAAATTCTTTCACATCGGCCATGCCAGGATTTTCACCATGCACTAGAGGGAGATTAAAGAAAAAATATACATGATGTATAGAAAGAGTTCAAAGTAGTTCAAGAGAAAAGGGGGAAAAAGTTATTCAAATATTTTCTTCGCATTTCAGAAAGGAACAATTAAGAGTTATAGAGAGTATACAGAGTAAGAATGAAATTCCCAGCAGATCTGAAATAGCTGACAATTACTTGCTGAAAGTTTCTTTTTCCTTTTCTTTTGCCCTTGCCAATTCAATTAATTCAAACCTGCAAAGATGACGCTAAGAAAAAAAAAAAAAAAGAAAAAAATGAATCTGAGCAGATAGAAACATTTCCTAGCTCCATGGTTGAGAAAATTGTGAGATAATTTCACAAAGATGGTCAAAGAGGTCACATTGTTTCAATAACTTAAAATAGGATGTGACTGCACACTTTAGCACTCTGTATTCTGGCATTGCACTTGCCTATGTCTAGGAAAATGGTTACAAAATACAAAGGCAGCAGATGGAATTGGTCTCAATTTTCCGAACTCAAAAGAATAAATTGTTCCGCTGCCCATGCTGCAAATCCCTTCCTTTGCCAGTTACACCATCTTGCAGAGCACAGTGAGAACTGCCTGGCAGCAACTTGGTGTGACCTGCACAGTCTGGTAGCATTTTTGAGCTCACTTGCTGCTGTTTTACAGGCCATCTCCTTGAGCTAGGAGGGCTTGATRCTTCAATCCCTACAGAAAGGGTAGAGAAGGTACCTCCTGGAGGGCAGCAGAGACATCTTAGAAGAAAAAGTCCTCAGCAATCACGACTTTGTCCTATCTTGCTTTACAAAGACTGATGGGGCTTCGTTCCTTCAGTTCTTTGCACTGAGCTATATAGTGCTGCACACAATGTTTGCAGAGTTCTCCAGTTTGCAAGCATCTGAAGTGGATTTCTTTCTCTACTTAGAAGTAATTTGGGAAGAGTATGGTAGCAGTTGCTGAAAGGAGTAACTTTGGAGGCTGGAAGTTAAGGTGCAGTAACTAGACTCCCTAAGTAGCTGCAAAGTAGCATAAGCAGCAAGTATCCAAACGGGAAAAACTACAAGGATGAGTCTGAACACAAAGAAAGGAAGAGAAACCTACAGTAAAGCTCCTAGGAATAGATCTCCTAGGGATGAAGGCCAAACCAGCTTTTCTTTCACAGGATAGCTGTGCTCTTTTCAAAGGGGTTGTATTAGGTCCATGCCTATTTTGTTTTTTTTTTTCTTTTGATTGAGTGGGTGAACTGAGATGCTTCTTTTAAATGCTAAAGAGAAATAATTAGTACAAATTCTGAACATTTAAGTAAAGTACACAACAAGGTGGTCCAATCTTCTCTCTTTTGCAGTGGAAGCGCAGGATATCCTGTTGAGGCTTGCTTTAGGAGGCTGCTAATGGCTCTAAAATCCATCAGTRGTGCAGAGGAACAAAYCCTAGTGATGAATTTGAGAGCTTAGAAAGATTGTAAGAATTAGATCCATCCAAGATCAGAATGGGTCTGACCAAAGTCTTTGAAGTACTTTCATTCTGCTGCAAACTCTTTGGAGAATCTAAGAGATTACCATCCAAGATCAGAATGGGTCTGACCAAAGTCTTTGAAGTACTTTCATTCTGCTGCAAACTCTTTGGAGAATCTAAGAGATTATCTGTAAACTATGCTTTTACTTTGTTTCTTCCATAGCACTCTGCCCTGAGCAAGTCTCAGTATCTTTTGAAAGTAAGGCCTTAGGGGTTAACACAGAGTCATAGGTGCTGAGTTAAACCCAACAAACTACAAGTTTGGGAAATTTATATTTCCCTGTTTAAGGTTTAATACAGGCACTGAAGAATATGACTACAGAAGGAGGAAGTAATTTCCAAATGTATCCCTAGCTAAAAAAATGTGGTTTTATGGTTTGTGATTTTGTTGCTGATATTCTCTTTAGCTAAACGGCAAGCAATTGCACAAGCACACACATTACGTACATATTTATAACATCAGTTCCTTACTATAACTGCAAGATCACAATGATATATCACAGGCTCTGGAACATCAAAAAAAATCTTTCTATCATTCTTGGGAGCTACATATTCCAGTAGACAATCCAATTGCTTTTAATGATCTAAAGATACAATTCCTAGAATTGACTCTGTTTAACCTTTCGCTTTCCACTTTTCATTTACAGGAAGCTTGGTTCTGAGGAGTATTTGTTCATTGTACTTCTGAGAATCTCAAACATGGGAATTCAGGCTTTTTAACTCGAGCTTGGATCAAATGTCTGGGTGAGAGAGCTCTTTGAAACAGTGACAGCTATTTTCAGACAATTGGTGAAACTTCTTGGATGAAAGATTCTAAAAATTTTTAGTTATGTAAGATCTTACAAAGAACTCTTAAAACACAGTTGCAAACATTGTAAGTTAAGTGGAGAAAGTAAGGATGACATGTCCTGGCTCACAAAGGTAATTCAGATAATATGCAATTAATTGAGAAGGGAACTCAAATTCTCAAATTAACTAAGAGTTACTGTTCTTTCTGGTTGTTCAGAAAGTCCCTGTACTTTCCTCACTGTTCCAAGAAAAGAACCACCACATCCCTACTTGACACCTTTTTATCTTTGCTGAATGACATCCACAGCAATGAATAAGGTTGCAAGGACAAGAAAGGAAGGCTAAAAATAAGGTCCGCAAGTCAGAATTAGRAAGGGAAGAGAGTCACATTCTGCTCTTCCAGGAACTTAAGATATTAATCTATGCTTTGCCATATTACAAGAAATTTGGCTTATCTAGTCAACCCAGAAGTTTTTGTCCACATAGTAGCTTGTGGGTTAGGCTCTTCTTTTTCCTGTATATCTTAAAATATTTAGGGCACATATTCAGGATGCAATTCTTGTGTTTTTTTCTGTGCCTGAAGATACCCAAACTGCTCTTTCCTACATCCCAGGCAAAGGCTTGCTTAGCTCAATTTCTCAGCCCTTCTCAGCTTCCCTGTTTTAGATTAACTTACCTCATAATGAAAGAAGGAACCAAACCAGATTTCATAGCTGAAAGGTATGAACAATCACCTGAAATTAGGGATGCCRTTCCTGTCACCTCCAATTAATGTTTAAAGGTTTGAAATATTCACTGGATTCCTGATCCCTATTTGATAAATTTTMTGCTTGTTCCCACTCTCTCCATTTCTCTCCTGCTGTCCTGCCAATCTAGCCAGACCTGCCAGTAAGACTTCACAGCCTTGTTCTCTGTTCTCCCTTCTTCTTGTCTTACAATATCCTGGTGCATACTAAATAGCACAGTGCAATAAATACCCCATTCAACCTGACACAACACTGAACTTTTGATACAATGAAACACATTAAGAAATCAAGAATGGAAAATTGATCTTTGGAGGCCATCTAGTGGTAAAAGCAGAATAGTACGAACTTTTCAAACTCTCTTCTGAAAAGGGTCTAAATATTACCCGGAGAGCACACACAGCTACTTCACTGGTCAGTGGATCTTTCCTCCTGGAAAATAGCAAGGTAGAAAAACAGGCTCTTTAGCTGCACTCAGAATAAGCTTAGAGTTTTGGCCGCATGCACCTTTCCTTCTCTCTACAGCACTCTGAAAATTACCAGTTATATACACAAATTTTGAGCTCTCTTTCACCTGAACAATGAAAAGAGGGGGGGCTGGGGGGGGGGGGGAAGTAAAATCACTCAAGGCTGACAGGAGGTATTTTATTTAAACTTCTTAAAAATAAATTCTTTAACTCATTTCCAGGTGAGTTCTTACCAGCTGTAGGTTCCTATCAGTAATATTTCTGACTCTAGCAAAACTTGATGGAAGATGCCCAGAATGGTAAGGAATGGACAGAAGCTCTTGTTTTCCTTAATGCTGCAGACAGCRGTTTATCGCTTGCAGATTCAGAGCACCGGGGTCCTGAGCACAGCAGAGTAGTGAGGGGAGCYGCATGAGAGGAGCTGTGGGCTGCCTCGTTGGGGGCCTCTGCCACTTGCCTCAGGAGCTACATTGAGCTTGGCCTTGGCCCTCGCGTGAGCTGCCAGGACTGTCAGGATTCCTGTGCCTGACCACRGACCTCTCAGACCCCAATCTGACTTTCTGGCTTGATCCTGACCTGCTCATCACTACAGTGTTGGCTGGTTACCTCTAGACTGTGACTGAGCCTTGTTCCTGCCACTGAACCTATCCTGTTCTTACTCAGGAAATCTTCACTTGACAGGACAGAGCAATATCTCTCAACACCACACRGATGAAAGTGATAGTAGCCTCCCGAGAGTCTCATTGGGCAGGGGGAGTAAGAGAGAAGCAAGGAACATTAATACTTTATCCATGGAATCTAAAAGGAAAAAAATAAATACACGTGTGTTTAAACAAAGTTTATTTCAAGTATCATAGAAAACCACAAACACCATCAAATAAGGCTTTATAAAAAAAAAAGGACACCAAGAAAAGACACACAAGAAATCATTATAAATGTACTAGCACTGTTAAGTACTGTTCTCTCCTCACATTAGACACCTCATGGTAATACCCTTTTGAACTGATGTCTGCTAACTGCAGCTGTAGTAATTTCACTTGCAAAATTGGTCCTTGTCACTATGGTTAATTCCTGCATTCCTTACTCAAGCAAACTCTTCAGAGTTATTCTGATGACCTTAACCTAAGAAAGAAATGGAAGACTGGCCTTGGTTCATAAGCACTTTGGTTGCTCTATCTACATGCAGCCTGGGACCATGATTCTCTTTTTACAYTGGTTCTAGTCAAGAATCTAATAACATAGTTAATATAATTAAGTCAATTAARAAGAGAGTTCCATTTACTGATTTTGGCTAATCAGGTGAATGCCTGTAACATCACACAGAATCACAGAATCCTAGAATCGTTATGGTTGGAAGAGATCTTCAAGATGATCAAGTCCAACCACAAACCCATCGCCATCCTGCCTGCTAAACCATGTCTCTAAGTGCCTCATCCACATGTTTCCTGGACACCGCCAGGGACAGGGACTCCACCACTGCCCTGGGCAGCCTGTTCCTAGGCTTCTCTTTCCATGTAGAAATTCTTTCTAATGTCTAACCTGAACCTCCCCTGTGCAGTTTGAGGCYACTTTCTCTTGTTCACATGGTAAGTTTGTCATCACACAACAGTGTCTTTTCAGTATTCACAGTTATTTTTCCTTTTACTATTTGATATTCAAACTATTTTAAGTAATGCATTTCAYATTGTCCTTGCAGTTGTTTGGTTATGAAGAATAAGTTAGTGCATCCTTTACTTCATTGACCTGAGAAATATACCCACTTCACTCAGCTGTGGCAGTTCGGAGTGTAAGGTTCTGCCAAACAGACAGCTGAGGTACAGACTGATTTTTCATAAACTTCCAATTCCCACTGACACTAACAATACAGGAAAGTTATATTTGATTGTCTCATCTTAGTTCCCTCTTGGACCCCACACAAAATGACTGAAGAAAACTGTCACTAAGCAAGTAGCAGACCAAAAAAAAAACAATAAAAAAAGGCACGAGTGTACTGAATTTGTGTACTCACTGCTATTCTCACATCACGCTAACATTAATAGATTTTTTCAGATAAATTCATCTGCAGTTTGAACTCCAGCTACATTAAACTGCAGGAACAACGAAATAAATTATTAGCTTAAATACAAGCAAGTGCAGGTCTTCATCTCACATCATTCTGCTGATTCCAGTWACTTTCAAACAAATTCTTGGGGGATTCATGAAAGTGAATTACAGAAGAACAGAATGAGGAATCAGCACTTACTATGCCTTCCAAATTTATTTTATCCTATGTTTGCAATGCATAATTTACACTGCATTCTCATACTCATGTAGACCACAAAGTATAAGGATGCCTAAAACAGATGCTGAATGTACTGCGGAAAGCTTCATGAATGGTAGGTAAAATGTCATTTTTATATCTTTTTGTTATAATGCTTCCTTATCACTTGATCATTTTTTCAAGTAACAACCTAGTTCTTATCAAGACTTGAGTTACATACATATTTACATAAGATCAGCCTAAGACCAAAAGTTTCCTACCTTATATCATTTTAAGAATGAAAATAATTAAGTCTTCCCTGAAGRAAAAAAAAAAGTAAAACAAAAATAAAAACCAAAAACCTGTGGCTTGTATCTAAGTGTGATCTAGGACAATTATTAACTTAAGAAATATAAATTTTTAGATTAATGATTCAATAGCACAAAAGAAACACAGGAAAAATCTCTAAGCTRCAGTGTATTATATGAGCTTAATTATGAAATCCCAACAAATAATTCCTTTTACAAATAGCAACGCAGCACCTTTGAACAGATACTCAATCAAAAAAATAGATTTGTTGAAATGAAGAAAATGGTCCTGTGTAAGTTGGACTGTAATTATAAATCAGCTCTTTTGTTTCTTCTTCTTTAGTGGGAAAGCTGTGCAAGCTCCTCCGGGCTGTAAAATATTTCAAAAATACAGATCACTTTTCTGTTATCATCCTTGATAATGTATTTCTTGGCAAAGTAAGTTATGCTGTATAGCATAACAGTACACAGAATTACAGTAGCTATTAGGTATACAGGACAAGAAAGCCGGTCACAGCAGTATTTTATTACTGGAGATGGAAGAATTTCTGTATTAAATAGGAAAGAAGTTGTGATACACTGGCAGTTCTCACAGTAYTAGGGGAAATGTATTAGAATACAGGCCTCCTGAAAGCTGCACTGCTGGTACAGACTGATCTGGTGAGGATACCAAAACCTGGTTTGATTTGTCATGGGCACAATCCTATCGAAGTCAAAATTAGCATATGAGAAGGCAATTTCAACAGAATGGTTTAGTTAGCAAACAATCATATCTAATAATTTTATACACATATATAAATATCAGTTTAAAACAGTTTGCTTCATCACCTTGCAGTTTGGTTTGAGGACAGGAGAAGGCTTTCTGCCTACCTAGCTTCATAAAGAAGGGAGGGAAGGGAGAAAATCACCTCCTGTAACATTATGGCATTAGTTGGATTACCTGTCCACTGATTTGGGAGGGGAACAGCTACCAAAAAATACCTTTGATACCTTTGAAAGAATTGATATGTGAGATGAAGGCTATATACATACAATCAACATAGGTTTGCTCTACTACAAGGACAGCAGATGCAAAAGTTGGTGACCACATCAGTGTGGTATTAAGCACAAGCTCATTATGTGTGTCTCCACACGTGTGTGTATTTTTAACTATACATATATATGGGCATAGATTCTGCCATATACTATGTCTCAGCATAACTTGCTAGCACAGGGGTGGCGCCTGCTCTGCCACATTGATTTACTTGGCTAATGGCCAAAACAAGCAGGTAGCAAAGTGCAGACAGGCACTAGAGAACATATTGCATCCCAGTATTACTCTCCAAAGGAAAACACACTCATCTTATGCATTCCCCAGCTCTCCCTCTTTATATCTGTATCCCCAAAGGACCTTATCAAAATTGAAAAAARTATTTAAGAAGTTTATGGTTATTGAGAATGAGGAATTTTTCCTGATTTTCCCACATTTTTGCAAAGCAGAGCAGGACTGCAGCACACAAAAAAGCCTTGAACTTGTGTAAAGCACTGTCTTTATTTCTGTACTCTCTCTAACCAGGTCAGCACATGTTGTACTACTTTAAAGCACCACGTGCCTTCTTTGTGCTACTCTTTTGATTACAGATTGATCTATAGATCAAACTCCATCAGGCTATTGCTTATGGACTTTACAATTTCAAAGACATTCAATTTAAAGATTGCAGTGACTGGAATAAAATAAGTTTGATCACTTCAGATACTTCTGTATACTTACATTCTATATGTATACTTCTTATAGTACTTATTTAAACTTGCAAATGGACAAAGTATTCTTTCTTTTTTTAAAAAAACTATCATTTTTTTCCAGACTAGTTGCTTACAGCTTCTTAGGATATAAACAAATAACTTACAAGCTCAGCAGAACAAAAACATCTTGAGCAGCCTGGCAGCTATAAACTGTGTTCACCCTTTGGCAGCCCTTTGACACATCTCTGTACTTTGCCCAAGCAGCATCTATAATCTTGGTGCTACGGTTTTGAAAGCAAAGCTAGGAATACATTTAATGACAGAAACTCAAGTCACAAGCCTCTGGAAATTACAAATGGGGCACTTCTTTTCCTTATTTCACTGTCTTTATGAAACAAAAGCAAAAAAAACCCAAAAACAAATTAAAAAATTTTTTTTTTTTTTTACTTTTGTAAACCTATCAAGCTTCTACATTAAGCTTCTCATATAGCAGTAAGAGGTACTGAACTTTGACAGAAGAAAAATGAGTCTTTTTCTTCAAGAATGTTTACTAATACTTCACTCGAAAAACTGATATGGAGTTTTTACCTTCGTTAATGAAGAACTCAGCCATGTAATATGCTGCTCTTATAGCCAATGGGGAATGTGGAATGCCTGATGAGTTCTTCCATTCATAAGCATTTTTCTCTGGATGCCACTGGATACCATAAATTGGGTATTTGTACGCTGCAACAAACACACTCGTCACCAAAGCACGTGAGATTTTTGCCTTAAGAGTGATATGCTTAATCTTATTGCAAAAGGAATTTAAAGTCTAAGTTATGGAAACATCACAATGCTGCCAAAAGAAAGAGGGAAGCTGATGTTAACTCAATATGATGAATTGATTTCCTCATACAATATATGAGGTAGAGAGCATCTTAGGAGAGCCAGCATGAGCAAACAGAGGCACGCTGCATGGATTAAACTACACAAGGAGGAGTGCAGTACATCTCCCTTTGGGGTACTGAAATGCCCCACTGAGGAAGTGCAACATCAGACCYGGGGGATGAACAACAGGTAAGAGAAGTCATTATGCTCACAGCTGTGTACTCTAAATTACCTCTGCAAACACAGTATGACCCTCACGGGCAGAGGGAWGGCAGGGCCAGGAATCATCCATGCAGTGTTAAAAGAAAGCTTGCCTTACAAATTGGCATCTTCTACAGCAGAGCTGCTTTGTTACAACCATACAGTTACAGAAAGGTTGAGCTTGGGAGGGACCTCTACAGATCATCTAGTCCAACCCCTCCCTGCTCCAGCAGGGACACCCAGAGCACGGGGCACAGGGTGACATCCAGGTGGGTTTGGAAGATCTCCAGAGGAGACTCCACAGCCTCCCTGGGCAGCCTGTGCCAGGGCTCTGTCACCCTCACAGTTAAGAGGTTCTCCCTCACGGGGAGACAGAATTTCCTTACAGAGGAATTCATTTCCTTACCTTCCATGGTAGACACAAACTCTAGTTGGTCAGCGGTGTTAGTGGTCAGAACATTATAGAAGTTACGTAGCTTCTCATTCTTTGTGAAATTCTGTGATAAGAAAAAATAATAATAATAATAATAAAGGATGTGTTATTTGCTCATTCATTTCTATTTTGAAACAGCAAATATATTTGTGTTCATGAAATAAAATGATCAAATACCTGCATGGACAGGCTCCACACATGAAAGTTTGATGTCAATGGTTCGGTAGCAAATGCATGTAATATATCATCAGGGAAATTCTTGAATAACCTGCTGTTTTTTGCACCTATTACAAATTAAATAAGAAAAAAAAGATATCCTCAGTTACCAGACTGCTACTGATAGGAGACAAAATTACTAAAACATTGTTTCTATAACACAAAATCATAATTTAACAGGATGATTGCTAAAATAACTCCAATGGGTTTCCAGCATACTGCTTACGACTCTCCTCCAGTTGCTTTTTGTGACCTGTCCATTCACAATGGCAACAAATAGCAGAATTTGTRACCTCTGCACAGTCCACTGACTGATTAGTCACAAATGCACAGAAGACACCAGTTGAGGCCATATTCTGCCTCTGATGCTGCRTGGTCATCCTCCCTCTCAGTCTCTGATTTCAATGCTTGATGCTTTGTAACCAGAACAGTGCTCATTTCCATCCCTATGTAAGCAACAAGTTGGAAAATTAAAGTTCACTCGCTCCTCCAGTTTGACAGGCTTTGTACCTGGGTATTTTGTATTCAGTTCACAAAGGAAAAGGGACCTAAATCCACATTATTAGTATAAATTTAAATTATCATAAATTTAAATTATCATAAAACTTAAAGAGCCACAACTATGATTTGTCCTGACTTCTACTGTTTCCAAACAGCTTGTGTTCACATCTTTTTCTTTAAAAGTCATAGAACTGACTTTGCAAAAAAAAGGCATAGTAGCTTAATATGAAAGAAATTAATAAGAAAGAAGTTGGTAAGGTAATAAAGGAAAACCTCCCAAATATTCAGCCTCGCTTRTTTATATGGAATAAAACACTACACATCTGAGCAAAATTCAGACATTCAGACATGCAGTAGAATTTTTCACCTGAGGTGAAGTTCAGAGGTAACGCAAATCCATTTGTTTTAGTATTAGCAAGCAAAATTTCGCCACTCGTGAGATAGGTCAGTTCTTCGTGTCCAAGACACGTTCCCCATACTGGAAAATAATCTCCTTTATCATTAGCCTTCAAAATAAAAAGCAATRAAATAAACACAGCATTAAAGACTTTCAGAAAGGAGAGTGAACAGAACTGCTTTTTTCATTCTCTGGTGTAGTTGAGAGGTAAATGAGAGGTAAAACTACTACAGGTAAAGGAATTATAACAGTTCAAGAACAATTACAACTGAAATGAACATACTGACTCCCTTAGCAGCAATTCAGCTGTTCTATTCTGCAGGTAAGTGATGTTGAGAACAGTCTAAACAAAAACCACAAAATGGAAACACTTCTGTAAAATACACGGGACACAAAACAACCCGTCATCATTATGAAACCATCATAATGGTTTGCTTTATGTGGAGCATTATGATTTCATAGCAAAGATTCGTTGCAATGCCTGTGCCCATCCATTTGCACTAAGAAAATGTAAATTTTATCATTGGCATGGCTGTGATGTTGGTGTCATGCCACAAGWCAAAGTGCTTGTTTAACTAGCAGTTTTAGACCCGTGTTCCAGGAAGATAAACTGAGCTTAAAGACCATGAAATAAAGAGTGACAGTCATTTTTAAAAGAATAAAAAAAGTGCAAAAAATCATTAAAGGTAKGAAAAGGAAGGAAAAAATCAAGAAGAGAATACAAGTAGCTTTTTATCACATAACTAAGCACATGTGATGTTACACACACACACACACACAGTGGAAATCTGCATTTTTGCACTGTTTATTCCTGACAGCAAGCACACTTCAGAAGCCAAGATGTGTCAAGTCTCACAGGTTTCTGTGAAATTTGAGTACTCTATTTTTTTTTTCCTAGAATTTGTTTCAGTTATGACCCCTTTAAAGAGCTGCTGCTCAAAAACATTTTAGAAAAGCTGAAATTACAGGCTTAGAATAAAAATGTCTTCTGATTGCGTATTGACAGTGTGGTAATAACAGCCCACATAATTACTACCCCTTTGAGCAAAACATGGAAGTCGAGCAAAACACGGAAGAATTTACAGAAAGAAAAAAAAAAAAAAAACACCAGATTACAGTTTAAGAGCAATTACACCTGCACCACAAATATTTGGGGTCTCTTATCTTCTCTTTGAATAAATACCAGCCTGGAGGCTAAACACATGTTGAAAACACCAAAGACGCTATTCTTTAAAAACTAATTTAAAATCTGGAGAAAAAAAAAAAAAAAAGCACTTCAGTTAAGCTTTTGACTAACTGAAGACAATGGTAAAATTCCATTGACTTGAGTCAGATAAACATTTCATACCATCCATTCATGTTATAACAGAGACAGATCAAAAATTTTCTCACTGGGAATACTGGAAAACAAAAATAGCATTTGTGCATTTAAAATAAGTAAATAAAATTCAGATAACTGTGCACTTGTAATATACTTGTGACTTTTGCAACTCACACTGGTGAATCTAGCAATAATTTATAGCGATAATTACATCTCAAAAGATTTTAAAAAAACAATTATTAAGAAGAGGAATTAGCAATTATTAAGATTAAAAAGGAAACATATGGTAGTAGGGTTCCCTACAATGAACTGAAAATTACTTTTCACCTTTTAATTGCCTTAAGTACACATACACATCTCTACTGGGTCTGTTCCTCAAGTTATAAAATTACGACATAGGCAATTTCCTTAATTATTGTGAAATGTCAAGAGAAATTCACAGTTCAGACTGGAAACACTACCAGTAAAACCACAACAAACTGGTATCCCCAGCTCCTGGATACCAGCACATGCGCTGCAYTCCACACGGCGGGCACGTTCCCAGGCACGCGAGTCTGCTCGTCTTGCACAGAAGTGAGCATGATTCAGGTTTAAGGTAACAGATTAATAACCACAATGAGCAAAGATGGGGACAACTACGTGTGTGTGCGTGCACAAATAAGCACATCAGTGCCAGAGGAAGGGACTATTAGGAAACTTAAGCAATTGACTGCAACAACTGACTGGTCCTGCAAAAGCGACATTTTCTTGACTGCTCTAATAAAGTCCACAGCAAGAGAAGGTAGGAATTCTGCACKGGCAACCAGTGCCTCCTGTTGTGACAATAGTTTCTCATAGCTGGGGTAAGAATTAGGCAAAATTTCCAACTATTATTTTGGTGGTACCATTTCTAATAAACTTCAGCTGAAAATAAAGTAAATAAGGGAAGAAAAAATATTTCAGTAGCTGTAGTGTACGTGTTAAGGAGGGCCATAACATTATTTAAATTGTATTATTTGAGAATCTGTCTCGGAAAATTCTCCTAAGGAATTAAAATTCTACATTTAGTCTGAAACTTTTGTGTAGACTGAAAATTCTATATTTATTTTGTGTGCATCTTTTCATGCAAGATTTAATGCTGTTAATGTTCCAAATAGAGACAAAGACCTAGATAACATGAATGAACYGGGCTGTTCTCACCCCAAGAACTTGCTCTTTAGTACAATGACAACATAAAATGGGAGGTGCTTGGAATTTTAATCTTAATCTATCAAGGATTTCTTTATGTAGAAGCCAGAAATGGGTTATTTATTGACAGATTTACAGTTAATACATTGGACTCCAGTAGGGAACCGGGAAAATATGAGCCTCCTGGCAATTCATCTCTGACCAACAACAAGTACTGTTCCGTATTAATTACCTCCAGTGCCTTCTGGTAAAAAATCTTAGCAACCTTGGCATATTTGGAAGTCCTAAGATCCACACCTCCTCCTGGGAAAAGCACCCTGCAAAACAATAACCAAGAACAAAGAACCTTAGCCAAAAAAAAAAAAAAAGAGTAACTCATCAACCAAACCAAAACCTGGGCAATGTGCACAGAACTAGATGGTTGGGGTCTTGAGGGTATGATACACCTCTAGACAACCACATTCTATAGCTACAGACACCCCCAAGTCTATAGAAAGACATCTAAGCTCCTATTACAGAGAGCCAAGATTTGGCCAGAGAAGTCAGTGGCGCCTAGAACACACAGCCTGAGGCAGCAGAGCTCTAACAGGCTGGCTGGCTGAACAGCCCTGCAGGCTGCACTGCCTGTACTGACCAGCTCTCTTTTGCTATGGGGATTTAGACTGTGCTCATGCAGCCACACAAATTCAGGTATCTTAATCTTGAACTAAATCCCATCCTAAATCTTAACGTGCTTTTACTGAGGAAGGTTTTTTTTTAAATACAAAGTAGTGATCAAACCTAGCGCACTCTAAGGAAGAGCTGAACAAACAGAAATAACGAACATAGAGACTTTACCTGGTAAACAAAAGGACAGCTTGCTGTGACTCTTATCAAATCCCATGGGGACTTCTAGCTGGCTCACCCTACTACTTTAAAGCCATAGTCCCGATCTTCATTCCCCTGCTCAATTTCAGTAAAAGCAATAATAACAGCAGCCCTGCAATTCTTAGGATAGTGCAGATCAAAAGTTCATGTAAAAACGGGGAAAGAACTCTTGTACTTTATCTGTGACTTTTAGCTGCAGAGATCTAATATAGCCAAAAGGAATAGAGCAATTGAAGAGACAGAATCGAAGAAATATTGCATAATGGTTTTCCATCACACAAAATGATTTCAACAAAGGCAGTGCTCAGTGTGCCTACCCAGAAAAAGACAGAAAGACAGGCCAGTCTTGAAGAGATTTCACATGTACAAATGAGGACATAGAAAGTAATCAAGTTCTACTATGACAACCAATAACATAAAATAATAAAAATCTTTTCCAGCTGTAACCAATGAGATGTTAACCTGCAGCAATGAGATGTTAACCAGCTGCTAAGGACAAGCAGCATTCTCAAAGAGTCCCCAGGATCTACAGAGTGAACATGTGCTTAAACACTCAGGATTGGGTTTATTTTAAAGTTTGCAATGCACACAGCTGCACAAAAGCCACTAAGAATTCGAGAGAAAAGCAGAACACTAGTCACATACAGCACCTAACTCTCCATTGCTAATATAGAAAATGATTGCAGCTTAAGGTATTCTTAAATTAGGCCAAATTACAAGTTTCTACAGAGAAACAGACAAATAAGATAATCACACATAAGATAATTAGAGAAGTAAGATGATCCTTATCTAGAAGTGGTGAAAATTTCAGTTCATCTGGTTCTTTCATTCAAAGTATAATGAATTGCCCAACATTAATCAGGAGGGGAAAAAAAAAAAAAAAAAAAAAAGCCTGTCTCATTTCTTCAGATGCAACAAGGAAGTAACCCATTAAGCAATATTGATAATGGCCTGGCAGTGTGATAAGCAGATTGAAATGCAACTAGGTGTATTCCAAAGATCTCTAGGTGATGAGTGCTAATGAATGAGTTCATTGGGAATTTCAAAAGCACATTGCTATATTCATAAAACTGCAGTCCTCACAGTAGAACATTCAAAGCTTTAAGAAGCCATTTTGTAAAAAATAATTCTGGGCCATAAAGGACCTGGAGCTGAAGTCTTAAAACATGAAGGGTGAATATATTTCTTGTTGATTCTAAATTTCCATAGCACGGGAAGATCTTTCCTACAGAGGTCTTATTTCCTATTTACACATAGCTCTATGGTGAAAGCTGTTGGCTTACAGCAGAGGGCAATAAGGGGAAACCTTGGCCAGCCTTGCCTGCCTATACAGCACAGACCCCACTCCACATCCTAGGAAAGGCAGAGGAATAAGGGCAGTGATTCCCTACTGCCYCTCTCTGCCCACAGGCAGGTGGGAAGGCCAAAGGAATGGGAGGTCTTGCAACCAAGGGCAGATTTGCAGTCATGAAAAAAGGGGTGGATCAGCTCRCTGTCTCCAACACAGGACTCCTCASCAGGGAGGAAATGTCACTTTCTTAACATCGCAAAGCTGTAGAGAACCACGTCGTACAGGGTAGGCTTGGGAGTACAAAAGACAACCCTTTCCCCAGGCAGCCACAGCTCTAAATCTGCAACTATTACTCATGTTGGTTAACACAGATGTACAGAAACGTACTAAATGAAAACCTTCTCACTTTAAAATGCTCATCTCACGACTACAAGTAGCCTACTCACATGCTAAAAGCCCACATGAAATTAAGGCTCTTAAGGGTAGTATCAGCTGATTTAATTCTTTAATTTTAGCACAAGAAAAGGGTAAAAGGTTTTGACTTTGCTTAGTCCACAGCTGAAGTGTGTTACACTAGATCAAATCACGTCACATTTAAAATAACATCAGAAGAAACAGCATACGGGTGCACTAAGAACATAACAGGTGGATTGTCGCCACAGATCAGCAAACAACTTGGGGTCTCACAAACCCCTAGGCCACAGAATCTCCGTGGGTAAGACAGGCCATGCAAGAGGCACAATAGAAAGATCACATAAAGAGCAGAAACAAGGGCAAAGACTGGAAATCAGAAACCTCTGTGATAGAGGGGATAAAAGAGGAGGAGAATGGGAGAAAAGCTGTAGAAGGAAGGTAGGCGCAGGGAAGCCCTAAGGGTGGTGATGCACTCAGCAAGTGCTATTGAATCCCAGAATGAGGGTGATCACTCAAATGGGGAAGAGAAAATAAATTAACAAAGAGGAAATTAGCTATTTCCTTTGCAAGGCATAAGTCAATTGTTGCCCACTACAATGCCAGGTCTGTTTGCCTGCAGACCAGTGTAAGAGATGCCACTCTAARTGTTGGCACTGGTGCAGATTATCTGACATGCTCCTCAAGGAGGGAAACATGATGGAGTGACACCGAATGAAATGCTGATCTCTGCCTCGGAAGAGGTTATATGTGCACAGGGCTCAGCACAGCCTCCCAGGAGAGCTAGAGAGGAGTCCCGAAAACAMAGCAGAGCTCAAAACCATGCCAGTAGAAAGCCAAAGCTCAAAACTTACCCATTGATGGAGTGGAATAGTTTATCATACTCTTCATCTGAAAGATTTAATCTGAAACACCAAGAAAGTAGTTATAGGACAGGTCTGAAATATATACTTTGCCATTAAAGAACCACAGTTTTTAAGGCTATCCAGTTCTGAACAAGGGGCCTCCACAAATGTCCACAGATGGATGGAAGGAAAGGCCTGACAGAAATTCCTCATCTGACRCGTTGCCCCTCACCTCCAGAAACAAGGACAAAGTTTGGCCACTCACATCGAGGAAAAAAAAAAAAAAGCTAATGAAATATTAATGAATATAAATAAGGACACAAATCAGGGTTTTAACAACAAATGACAGATCTGCAACTCCACTGCAGAGCTTATTGCTGGCAACACTTTAAACATAGAAAGTCTGGGTACATTCTCACACACAGTCACTTTACATGGGAAAATTGTATTGACCTGAGTGAATGTCAATCCGCATTTCCCAGATACAGATTTCCCAGATTCCCAGATTTCTAGATACACAAACGAGGTTTCTTTCAAAAAATACTGTTAAAGGAAACTTCAAGTATTTCACTTGAAACAGCTCAGGGGAACGGGGGACGCACAGGCCTGAAAAGAGGACCCTGGCAGGCAGAGCTCAGGATTAGGGCCYCGAGACCCCTCCGCAGTCACTCATTAAATGGGACACCTCAGTGCTATGGGTATTATTTCCTGCAGACCGGCAGCTCCGGTTTCCGCAGGGCTGCAAACAGGGAGTCACACCCACTGTCCAGCAAAGCCCTGGCGAGGGGTGGAAAGGTGAGAAGGGCTCCAGCATCAGCAAACACCACCCTGGTCCCGACCCGGACTGCCAGGCTCAGTCTCACAGGGGTGTATTCAAAGCAGCCAGCTCTGCCCCCGCTGATTTAGCTACCAGGATTAGACGCCTCCGTTTCCTCAAGGAAGCTGCAATCAGCTGAAAGCCCCACCAGCTCCGCGAGGAAAAACAGTCTGAAATTCGAGCACTTCATGGTGCCTTCACTGGACCCATTGCAATTTTCTGCAGAAGTTTTAGTATCGTTTTTATTTCTTATATAGTGCATTTAGCATTTTACGGCTGCTTCTTGGCTATGAAGTGTCCCCAGCTCTGTTATTTACCTGCTACATTTTAGCCAACAGCCAAAATATTACCAGACACAGAGCTAGGGGCCCACAAACATATGATCAGAGCTGGATTTTGGGTTCTTCAAGGGCTACAGATACTCTTTCTTCAATACTTGAATTCTAGGACTTGGAATTGTGACAGAAGATTGTCTGGCTGAGTATGCATGTTTGTGGAGCAATATACATTAGGCTCGCTAATGTATATTAATGGATAACTTTGTTATTAATGAATAACTTCAAAAACAAGAGATTAAAATTGCCTTATACAGTTTGCAAGATAGAAAAGAAATATTAAATTTGTTGAAAAACATAAGATTATAAAAAGCGATATTAAAAATGAGACAGTCCAGTGTGTGTGAGAGTTTCAAAAACCTCAGAAAATAAGCACAGCTTCTTTCTGAGCCTCTAAGATGCCGTCCTTCTGCTAAACAATTAATATTCTTTTGTATAAAGTGTATAAAATAAATCTACCTTATTGGAACAACTCGGGCACCTGCAGATTCTAAGAACTTAACATATGAAGCGGCAATATATGAACTTCCAAACTTGTGTAACTCCTTAAAGTGGCATTCCTGTGACAAAATACCTGGAAGGTCCAAGAGAGAGAGTCAGGGTTACACAAACAGCAAGTATTACACTCTGAAAGAAAAAAAAAAAACTATGCAATTTATGTCATGTTGTAATAACTATTTAGCACCTGAAATGACTATGAACACCAAGAGAACAGGTCAGTCAGTCGTGATGCCTCAACACACGGTACCAAACACATGCTCAGATTAAGMCTCAACTTCCCTGCTTTATTTAAGTGCTTAGTTGTAGAGCTCCTTGACTAAATGATCTATATTTTAGGTTTTTAAAACAAGGGTTATTTACAATAGCTTCAGCTGCAGACAGACGTCAGTAGCAAAGACTTGATCTTCCATGCTGTGATGTTGTGATCTAACCTACGTCTGGGCAGAGCTTCCACTCCGCGTAAAARTCAACACGTTTTCACACCAGTTTTAGCAGTCATCTCCAGAGGATCAAAGCACATAATTATTAACCTGAAGGTTTACACATATGTTGATGCAAACTCATGAAAAGGCAAAACTAAGCAAGAACGACAAGCTTAGTCGTTCTAAGCAATTCTTGCTTTTCCTGTTTTTTTTT